TCTAAATTCTCATTAAATTTTTTCGAGTAATGAAGTATTTGAAATACATACGATTTTATTTCTCATCACATTTCAAAACTCGCATGTATTGAATAACGACTACTTTTGGGTGAGTAAGTCAGTATCTCACATAGCAAGTCTGGTCGGTGGTTTTCTATATCTTCAGCACATTACGTATGATGAATTTGATTTTGAGTAGACTGGGTGATGCATCAGTTCATCATTGAAGGCCCACGTACTTCCTCTCCCGTGGCATCGTGACTCCAACTGATTGCCTGTTACGGCTGCTGACATGTGTAAACCCTGTGCTGAAATGTACCTTTAGATTCACTCGCTATTCAGTGAATGTGAGCCCATTACTAGGTGGGCGTGCAGTGTCCCAGTACTTTTGGTATTACGAGTTTGTTGTATTGAGCGATATTTTAATCTACATATCAATTCGTTAAGTGCTTGAACTATTAATGATACTTAATTCAACTGATTTTTCTGTCTCAGAATGATTTTTTTATCCAAAAGATGTTCACAAGCAAGTAAGGTTACACCCCTCTCTGCGCATGATAAGTAAATATATTACTACAGTTCCTGCGATATTCATGAATTTACAGTTTAAAATTACATAAAAATAATCTTTATTATTATTAAGTTGGTTGTTTTTTTTAGCACAAAGCTACACAAATAATTATCTGTGTTCTGCCCACCACGGGTATCAAAACTCGGTTTATAGCGTCGTAATCCTGAAAACTTACTGCTGAGCCACTGGGGGCTTTATTATTTACAAAAAGTGGAAATTCCTATTGAAAAATTTTCGAACTTTCATTGCTTCAGTCAGGTAATGTACATCCGTAATGACATGTTTTAAACAAATCCGCTAGATATCAAGTGATGTTATAATATTGATATTAATAATTTTTTGTTTGCGTTGACCTCGCAAAATTATGGTAAATGTAAAAAAAAATAATACTTATTCATATCTTTTGCTGATATTTTAGAATTTCTTATAAATCATATTGTTAGGTAATTGCATGCGAATATGTTTCAGATGATTCAATTTTGTTTTTGTTTTTACTTTCGCGTAAAGCTACACTAGGACTGTCTGCGCTAGCCGTCCCTAATTTAACAGTGTAAGACTAGAGGAAAGGCAACTAGTCATCACCGCCAACTGTTGGGCTGCTCTTTTACCAACGAATAGTGGGATTGACCGTAACATTATAACGCCCCCACGGCTGAAAGGGCGAGCATGTTTGGTGTGACGGGGATTCGAACCCGCGACTCTCAGACTGCGAGTCGAGCGCCCTAACCACCTGGCCATGCCGGGCCCAGATGATTCAATCGAATTATTTCAGAATCATACTGTTTCTTGTTTTTGTGCATTGGGTTTTTGAATGATCTGCGCCACAGAGATTAATGGTTCACTTTAAGAATGACAGTTAAATTTCACTGGTCTGGCATGGCCAAGTGGATAAGACGCTTGGCTCTCAATCTGAGGGTTGCAGGTTCGAATCTCCGTCTCCCCCAAACATTCTCGTCCTTTCAGCCGTGAGAGCGTTATAAAGTTTCGATCTCTCCTCACTATTCGTTGGTAAAAGAGTGGCTCAAAAGTTGGCGGTGGGTGGTGATGACTAGCTGCCTTCCCTCTAGTCTTTCACTGCTGAAATAGAGACGGCGAGCGCAGATAGCCCTCGTGTAGCTTTGCGCGAAATTCAAAACAAACAATACATTTCACTATTCAATCAGACAAGAATAACCCAACATTTGACGGTGGGTGCCTTCACTCTATTCTATCAGTTTAAAATTAGGAATAACTAATAGCCATTGTGCAGGTTTAGTTAAAATTCTAAAACAAACAAACAAATAAATTTTGTGCATGTCGGCCTAATCGGGTCGCTGTTTTTTATCTGTGATCATTATACGGAAATATTATGAATACTTTTTATTTAAGAAATCGTAACACCATACTTATGAGAATAAATGTTACTGAATGATTGTATCATCATTCTTTCCAGTTCCACTCCTGATCGATATACATATCCAACTGATTAATCGTTTATAGTATTTTCATCATTATAATACATCAAAGAAGCGGAATAGCAGAAATGCTACAGCGTGTACACTTTGACTTTGTGGTCTTCAATAAGTTACATCACATCTTGCGCATTTATTTCCGTATTTCACATCAAACATTGCGCATTTTCCCGAATTACTTTACTCCACATGAACAAAGTAACGGTGTTTTGTTTCACAGTTGTCACAATGAATTCAGTTCAGTATCATGAAAAGTTAATTTCAATATTTCCATGTTGGTTTGTATGTTTCGTTGGTTTTGAAGAGAAAAACTAAAGAGAAGGCAGGTAGTTAACACCAACCACTGCCATTTCTTGAGCTTCTTATTACTAACGAATAATGGAATTGACTGCCACATTATAATGCCCACACCGTAGAAAGAGCTAGGTATGTCATTAATTAATCCACAAAGAGTGAAAAATGAGCATTATTTTTTTTCCAATTTCTAGAGAAATATAAATTTTAGAAACAGCTTTTGATATACTTAACTTATTCTACTAAGTTATGAGTGTTTTAAATCACGGTTATATCGACACACACACATAAAACAGTTAGGGGTGTATTTCTACCCTATTTCCCAAATGCTGTTCCAGTTGTTAATAAACTAAGAACTTTGATAGAAAGCTGCATTAATCCCAGAGTTAAAAAATCGAGCAGTTGTTGGCTGAGGAGTAACTCTAATGTTACGAAAGAGCCACTCAATTAAAATAAACATTTAATCTTAGAGTACTTACCTTAAGATTACATTTAACGCTTCCGTTGAAGTCTTATATAAACACGTTTAAATTTCTAGATATTCTTTTCTTCCAAGTTTAGATTGAACAGTAATTATTTAAAGCTATTTTTCCAAGTTGTTTTCTACACTTAGCGGCTAGTTCCACTTATAAGATTATTGCTTATGCTTAAAATAGAAAATGCGTGGGTTGTAAGCAGCCTTGTAGTATGCTTGTTGTGTTCTTGGTTTATTTGAAAAGTTTAGAGATTTAAACGGTAACAATAAAATATGCGATAGACGTATGCTTTGCCCCCCTGTGGCACAGCGATATATCTGCGGACTTACATCGCTAGAAACCGGGTTTCGATACCCGTGGTGAGCAGAACACAGATAGTCCATTGTGTGGCTTTGTGCTTAACTTCAAACAAACGTATGTTTTTGCCCCCCAGTGGCACAGCGATATGGCTGCGGACTTACATCGCTAGAAACCGGGTTTAGATACCCGTGTTGAGCAGAGCACAGATAGTCCATTGTGTAGTTTTGTGCTTAACAAACAAACGTATGTTTTTGTAATTTTGTTATGAGAAAAGCACTAGAATGACTGGTTTAACTATAAGTATAAATACATGCGTCTTTAAAATAATGATAATAATCTGGGAATCTGAAAATGATTAGATTAATTACAACAGGGGCGAGCTGATGTAAATATTTAGTGTTAGGTATCATTGAAAATGGAGAGGCGTTTTTAATAAAATGTTCATAATCTCAACTTCGGAACAACAGATTACAAACTATTATCCTTAACTTTGTTTAACCCAAACTGGAGTTTATTACGAGACATTTCTATTGACATATATAAAATAACAACCTATTTCTCCAGAATCTATCTTTATTAAGTCAGTATTTCGCTATTATAGTTTCATAAATAGTTATGGATATACAAAAACTTCACGACATTTGTTTTCGGTTTTTAACATAACGAAACTTATCACTTAATCTTAAATTATTAGTTTCCCCAACTTAGATGAAACATTATAAAACAAATAATATTTTAGCGTTACAATAAAAAAACAACAACATCCAACTTAAATGATTAATTTTTTTAATCGAACAATTAAGTTAACAATAAACATTTTTTTTCTATTATATGACCCAGTACCTTTTCTTTCCTTCATTACTTTATATCTTTTTAAAGATGACAGCTTATATGAACTTGGAGGTTTCCACTTAGCCCGCATTAAGTTTTACAGTTTTCGAAAGCATTTTCTAACTTCTTTTCATCAACTTGTTCAATTTGTTTTTAAGTAAAGTTACTATAACTAGCGGTGTAACACTTTCGTTATTATTCGTATATTCAATTCATTATTATTTTCGTATTTTTTTATTATCCTAGTGAAATGTAAAGTATTAGACTTTCGCTAATGCAAATAATATGTATATAAGAATATTAATAATAATATTGCCACTATGCAGGAAACACACAGTATTCTAGAATTGGGAATATGTATAACTAGCCACTAAATTATTAATAATTATCTTATTAAAACATTTCTTTAATAATCAGTATTGTTTAATATATGCTAATCAGACTTGTAAGTGTAGTACGGTGCGTACAACCAATTCCTTTTGAACCCTGATATATGTAAGTGTAGTACGGTGCATACAACCCATTCCTTTTTAACTCTAATATCTGTAAGTGTAGTGCGGTGCATACAACCCATTCCTTTTTAACCCTAATATCTGTAAATGTAGTACGGTGCGTACAACCAATTCCTTTTGAACCCTGATATCTGTAAGTGTAGCACGGTGCGTACAACCAATTCCTTTTGAACCCTGATATCTGTAAGTGTAGCACGGTGCATACAACCAATTCCTTTTTAACCCTAATATCTGTAAATGTAGTACGGTGCGTACAACCAATTCCTTTTGAACCCTGATATCTGTAAGTGTAACACGGTGCATACAAACCATTCCTTTTTAACCCTAATATATGTAAGTGTAGTACGGTGCATACAACCCATTCCTTTTTAACCCTAATGTCTGTAAGTGTAGTACGGTGCATACAACCCATTCCTTTTTAACCCTAATATCTGTAAGTGTAGTACGGTGCATACAACCCATTCCTTTGAACCCTAATATCGGAAAAGGTAAACGCAAATAAGAAACCAGCTTTTACACATGGCAACCTAGAAATGTGTATTCATCTTCTTTTTTTTTTTTTCAGTGACACAAATGAATGGTATGGACACAACGGTGGTGTCACCACAGCAGAACGGCACCATTCACAACTCTGTACAAACAGGCTTAATGTCCGAAGACAGCAAAACGAACTTGATCGTCAACTACCTTCCCCAGACTATGACTCAGGAAGAAATAAGAAGTCTCTTCTCCAGCATCGGCGAGGTGGAATCCTGCAAACTGATAAGAGATAAAGTTACAGGTAGGTTTATTACCATGTTGTTCTGTTAAAACAAGTAATTAGTTTAACTGTGTAAAATTGACTCTTCGCAAAACTCACGTTTCATCGCGTCTTTCGCAAAATGGATAAGATGAAGGAACAAAAGAAAAATAACTCTGCTGAAGAAAGCAGGACTTTTCAGCTCACCATGTAATGTAGCCGTATAGAACTGTTATTTGTTTAAAAACGAAAAATAACTCTGCTGAAGAAAGCAGGACTTTCAGCTCACCATGTAATGTAGCTGTATAGAACTGTTATTTGTTTTCGAAGGTTATTTCAAATTGGATTCATTCTTTGAACTTTATTGGGTATGTGTATGTAAGTGGGATCACCATAGTCATATTCCTTACATGAGTACATAGTATTCATATTCGATTATTGCACATGTTAGATTCTAGAGCATCACTGTATAACGTAGAACACACCTACATGGAAGATTTAAGCCCTCTGTCGTCGAAGACCAAGTTGCTACAAAATCTCCATCTTTATGAAGGAGGAAAAAGACATTTATGTGATGTCTTCCAACAATGCATTATTTAAAACCAACAATACTAAAAATACCTTTAAAAATGAGAAACAGACATGTTATAAATCACTTACTTTCCAGACAACTCGTTCCAGGTCTTCGGCTGAGTACCATTGCTGCTACTTGTGTTTTCGGCCTTAAACTTAGTAACAAGTGTTGGTGGGGTCTGCTTAGCAAAACTTCACGATTAGCCATTGTAATTGTTGCTATTGTGATTTAGTTTCTGTTTGCTTGTTGTTAAGCCCAAAGCTACACAATGGGCTAACTGTGCTATGCCCATAACGGGTATCAAAACCCGGTTTTTATCGTTATAAGCCTTCAGATTTACCGCTGAGCTATTGGGTGGCATTGTGATTTAGCTCTCTCCGGTACTGTGATGTATAAAAATATTTACCTGGAGATTAAGAAGATTTAGGACCTCTGACGCCACGGGCCAAGGTGCCACAAAATCTGTTTATTAAGGAGGAAAAGTAGTTAGGCTGTATCTCACTTTTGATAGGCGGCATGGAGGTTAAGCTAAACTTTTGAATTCCAAAAGAAAACGATTTTCAAGTGTTTTACTAAATAGTGTCCCAAGGTCGACGGCTGAAGTTTATTTTTTTTGTTATATTGAGCCCTAAGGTTCTAAGAGAAATATCTATTTGAAAAAGGAAGTGGAAACACGAAAAATATCGAGTAAAAGAATAACAGTAGAATGCACAGGGGAGTGGCTGGATATGGGATCATGCCCTTACCTTTATTCTCTTATGCCCCCAAAGAACCATTTTTCTCAGCCATAAATAATGTTCACAACTACTAAAAGACACGTCTGATTGCCCTGTGTGTACCAAAGGCAATCTAAAGTCCCCATGGTCTCCCCTAATACATCCAACCCTCCAAAAAAAAGTCTTGCCTTGTAATGTTAAGAAACTGCCCATTTTATATCAATGAGCCACTGCCATTTTAATGCCCTCTGCACGTTAATGAAGAATAATATCACTCAACATGAAAAAAATATTTAACTGAATGCAGTGGCGTAACTAAAAATGATGCCCCCTTTCGCATAAAAAGTAATTGGGTCTCTACATTTATATCTCTATAATTGTAGTTACGATTCTGGCTTAATCGGACACATGTTGATTGAGTGTTGGTAATACATGGCCCATGAAGAACATTCCTACCATAACACTTACTAGAAAATTAAACCTTCTGTGTTTTTTCCTTCACTTCACAACCAAGTTGATCCCAAGACACCCAAGAAAGAATGGCTGGACAGTTTACTGTAACTTCGTTTGTTTTCTTATAAATTATACTAAAAACAAAACGTCTAAAATTTTCCATAAATATTGTTATAATATTTTTGAAAATGAAAATTGAACGATTGTTTATAGAACTTTATAGTAAGGCCACTTATGTGAGCATGTTGATTAAAGATCAACACGGAATAGATGGAAGCCAAAACCAGTAATAGTAGAAACAGTGGCGTAGCTATAGAAGGGGCAGTGGCCTCCCTTGGAGAATTGAAGTGGAAAAACAAAATCGGGAATTTAAGAAGCTTAATAAAAAAAATCGTCCCTTTAGATTAGCTGAAAATGTGTTGCTAGTATGTTCGTGATTGTTGTTTAAAGAAGTTTGATGACACATATTTGCTAGCATTTGTCTATCTACGTCACTAGATACAAAATTTATATAATATCTTATTATGTATATATCTTAAGACAAATTACTACTGTTGCATTTTTTGCTGTTCGATGGTGCACAGTTTTTTTTTTAATATCTCAGAAATATTATACGTCCTTGTGATACTGCTATGATAAGACGAAAGCCAAATTACAGACTTATTAACGACATCCTAGTACAATACCATTCACGTAGACAGGTAATGGTAAGAGAGCTGTAAGAAATAAATAGGCTTACTATATTCTTGATATTGTGAAAACGTGTAAGACAAAGTTCAGGCTTATTATATTCATGATATTGTGAAAACGTGTAAGACAAAGTTCAGACTTACTATATTCTATGATATTGTGAAAACGTGTAAGACAAAGTTCAGACTTACTATATTCATGATATTGTGAAAACGTGTAAGACAAAGTTCAGACTTACTATATTCTTGATATTGTGAAAACGTGTAAGACAAAGTTCAGACTTACTATATTCTTGATATTGTGAAAACGTGTAAGACAAAGTTCAGGCTTATTATATTCATGATATTGTGAAAACGTGTAAGACAAAGTCCAGACTTACTATATTCTTGATATTGTGAAAACGTGTAAGACAAAGTTCAGACTTACTATATTCGTATTAGAGTGACAATACGTAAGATGAATTTCCGGTTTATAATGGCAACATATTCGGTGTGACTATCTTCATTCTAGTGTAACGACCATTAAACTCAATGTTTTTCTCAATTTCTACTTTTGTACACATGATAATCGTGCATGGTCGTAATAATATTAAAAATGGGGAACAAGACCAGTAAGCCGTCACTAGTCATGCAGAACAAACCAATGTTCAGAATATTTTTCAAAGATGTATATGTTTTGTGTTGTTTAAGAAACATAAGAGGACGAATTAGAATTTACATATGAAAACACTGGAGGAATTAGAGCATGAAAGGCCTAGACGCAGGATAAAAGCTTGTTTCTTCACGTGTAATGCAAGTAACAACGTGAACCTGGCTCACTTTGCTGACAGAGGTCTCTGTGAGTTGTTGTGGAATGATATTTTGATATCGAAACCATTGCAGCTTTCGACTGTAAGTAGTCATTTTATGTTGGGAAAACGTTTTGTTTTCTAACATATACGACTACCGTTATGTAAACTGTCAACACACTGAACTTTTCGAATGTTTACATGTTCTGGTTCAACTTAAAAATACATTGTTATCACATACAAACAACTGGGTGATTTGAAACAAAATGTTTGTAGAGATTTGGTGTGCATAGTTCTTTGAAATGTTTTTTTTTTATATGAACAGCCTATAAGTATAAGTTATACAATGGTACAGCTGGGAATTAGCAGTTTACTCACGTTATAAAGTCCTGACTGGATGCATTGTTGTCATGGTATATCTGTTGCTTGCCCAAATCATACCGTGTATTTTATATCCGGTTGCTTGGAAACGTCGTCAAGATGCGGGTAAAACACTCGTTGGGAGATTGGACAGCTGATCAGAAGACACACCTCTCTCTCTCCTCCCCCCCCTCTTTTTGTAGCTCTCTAGTTATGAAAGGGGAGAGTACGGGCGTACAGATGGTTACCATGTAACAGATGTTAGATTGTGTGTTTTTTGTGGCTAAGGGTAGTTTTTATGCAGGCATTAATAGCACCAGATGGAAGCTAACATTATCTAACCACTTCAGTGGCCACATGTGATGATTGACCAAGCGTGTCACAGCATCAGTTGTCTAGTGTGATGTCGTGGTGGCGAAATATCTCTGATAACGCTTTTGTGTTATTCACGTCCTATGGCTTTTACAACTTCTTGAAGCTTGCAGTGAGAATAGTAGTTCAGCGACTATACTGAAATTGTAAACAATCCAGTATATTTAACTTGAAAAACAAATCTCTAAAAAAAACCGATTTGAAGAAAAAAATATTATAGATTTTTTTGTGTGAAATAAATCTACACCATTAATATAACATTGTTCAAAACTGCTCATTGTAATGCATTATTGTTAAAACTGTTCATAGTAAACCATTATTGTTAAAACTGTTCATAGTAATGCATTATTATTGAAACTGCTCATTGTAATTTAATATTATTAAAATTGTTCATAGTAATTTAATATTATTAAAACTGTTCATAGTAATTTAATTTTGTTAAAACTGTATTATAAAATGTAATGTTAAAGTGTTCATATTAATGTAATATTCTTAAAAACTGCTCATAATTATATGGTATTGTCAAAAACTGCTCATAGTATTATAAAATGTAATATTAAAATGTTCATATTAATGTAATGTTCTTAAAAAACTGCTCATAATTATATGGCATTGTCAAAAACTGCTCATAGTATTATAAAATGTAATGTTAAAATGTTCATATTAATGTAATGTTCTTAAAAAACTGCTCATAATTATGTGGCATTGTCAAAAACTGCTCATAATAATTAAAAGTTATTAAAAATTTCCCAATCAAGCACAAATTAAATGTATATTTCATTGATTAATAATTGCTGAGCCTTTGATTTTCATTTACGTGAAACATGATTTTGTGCTTCATATATACACTTTAATAGTTCATTGTTTATTATTTTAATGAACACTAAATATTTAAACACCCGTTTGATTTATTTCGTTCATAGTAGACTATGAAAATATATAACCTCAACTTGAATGTGATAACTTGTATTGTTAATTTTACCTATGATGTGGTATCAAATAATACGTTGAGAACAATGGTGTAATTTTTCAATTTACTTTGTGAAGATGTAACAATAAGGCAGTATGATGTGCAGGGGTCACGCGCCCCCTTCTTGTCGTGAGACCTATATTATCACAGTGCTGCCTCGTCGTTCATGTATAATATAGCCTTACACTTGGTTTTACCGAATTACTGACATTTTTAAAGGTAATCGTAAAAATATAAACATAAAACATGCTGAAACAAGTGAACATTCGTGTATTTTTGTTTTTAATGTTATAGTCTTATTATGGTATCTGTAACGCTTTCTGTTTTTACTAGCAGTGTCTAAGTTTTAATTTTCATAGAAAGAGTCCACTGTAACAAATGTGTCGAGACTTTATTTTTTATAAATAGCTTAGTTTCTAGTATGCTGAAACAAGTGAACATTCGTGTATTTTTGTTTTTAATGTTATAGTCTTATTATGGTATCTGTAACGCTTTCTGTTTTTACTAGCAGTGTCTAAGTTTTAATTTTCATAGAAAGCCTGATTTACGTGTAAAGAGTCCACTGTAACAAATGTGTCGAGACTTTAGTTTGTATAAATAGCTTAGTTTCTAGCATGCTGAAAAATATTTATGTTACATGCGCTTCGTGATTCGTGGATTCCCTTACTTTCATTCTTAATCTGTTTTTTTTAGATTATTTTTGGACTTGTTTATAAATCTTTTCAGGTCAGAGCTTGGGGTACGGTTTTGTTAACTACATTCGTGCGGATGATGCAGAGAAAGCTATTAACACACTCAACGGACTCAGGTTGCAGAATAAGACCATCAAAGTAAGTTTTTCTCTCTGTGAAATTTCGAAGTACAATCATGAAACTTTGATTTAAAATAACGTAGTTTTTATCCTATAGTGTTGTTCGAATTTCAGTCGAAGGACTTCTAGAAATGTAGCGTAAATTGCCTTATTTTGACCCTTCTGATTGGACTGACGATATATATATGTACTTTGTTTATCAGAATCACATCAGTGATTCTTGAAAATATTTATATTACCTTAGATTATTTCTTTATGATGTTTAATGAGTGTTTATGAATGACTTTCGACTTGTGAACAAAAATGTGTTTTAAATATAGATGGTTTAAATATTCAAAACTGGCGGAACATTGGATTTCAATAGGCCTAATAATGAAGATGAAGACAGTTGACAAAACAGAAAACATTTTATTTACAAGGTTCGAATGTTTCTAAATACATTCATTCCATCTTCAGTGAAATCTGAAAATCGTGTTACAAAGATATGCATTAACTAAAACTAGTTAATAAATATTGTATTGTTTATAAACTATTTGATAAATATTGTATTGTTTATAAACTATTTGATAAATATTGTATTGTTTATAAACTAGTTGATAAATATTGTATTGTTTATAAACTAGTTAATACATATTGTATTGTTTATAAACTAGTTAATACATATTGTATTGTTAATAAGCTAGTTAATAAATATTGTATTGTTTATAAACTATTTGATAAATATTGTATTGTTTAAAAACTAGTTGATAAATATTGTATTGTTTATAAACTAGTTAATAAATATTGTATTGTTTATAAACTAGTTGATGAATATTGTATTGTTTATAAACTAGTTAATACATATTGTATTGTTTATAAACTAGTTAATACATATTGTATTGTTAATAAGCTAGTTAATAAATATTGTATTGTTTATAAACTATTTGATAAATATTGTATTGTTTATAAACTAGTTGATATATATTGTATTGTTTATAAACTAGTTAATAAATATTGTATTGTTAATAAACTAGTTAATAAATATTGTATTGTTAATAAATATTGAATTGTTAATAAACTAGTTAATAAATATTGTATTGTTAATAAACTAGTTAATAAATATTGTATTGTTTATAAACTAGTTGATAAATATTGTATTGTTTATAAACTAGTTAATAAATATTGTATTGTTTATAAACTAGTTAATAGATATTGTATTGTTTATAAACTAGTTAATAAATTTTGTATTGTTACTAAACTAGTTAATAAATATTGTATTGTTAATAAACTAGTTAATAAATATTGTATTGTTTATAAACTAGTTAATAAATATTGTATTGTTTATAAACTAGTTAATAAATATCGTATTGTTAATAAACTAGTTAATCACTAGTTTATTTAGTTTCTTTGTTTGTTTTGAATTTCGCGCAAAGCTACACGAGGGCTATCTACGCTAGCCGTCCCTAATTTAGCAGTGTAAGACTAGAAGGAAGGCAGCTAGTCATCAGCACTCACCGCTAATTCTTGGGCTACTCTTTTACCAACGAATAGTGGGATTGACCGTCACATTATAACGCCCCCACGGCTGAAAGGGCGAGCATGTTTGGTGGGACGGGAATTCGAACCCGCGACCCACAGATTGCGAGTAGAGCTCCCTAACCACCTGGCTATGTCGGGCCGTTTATTTAGTTATTAAGAAAAGTGGTAACCGGAAGGATAAAGCAAAAAACGAAAGATTACAGATATATTACAAAACAGTTGAGTTTCAAGTGTGTAAATTTAGAATAATTTTAGATCTAAAGAACTTTGTGAGTCGTTAAATGCAGGGCTTCTTCAGCTGTGAGTTAACTTTCTTTAATGTAGAGTTCAAGGTCCGAAGATCCTGTAGTAATGACAGAGAAATTGTTAAATGAAATATTGTGGCCCGTGGTTTCAGAATGTGAACGAATAGATGACTGGCTGGATTTAAGTAGTGGGTGGTCGGTTCTGTTAGATACTTCTAATTAGATAGGCCCAATTTATATAACAAAAATCACTTTAACTCCCATTTTCGTTTACATTCTTCGTAATTTGTTATTTTGAGATTTCAAACAGAAGTGAGTAAATATATAGTATATTCCATAAGTCATTGCCTATGAGGCCTTTCTTTCAATACCAGACTTCTCAGCTGGGCTTGACCAATGAGAAACAGAAGCTTATTTCAAACACTATATATATACATATATATGCAGTAAGATATTTTCAAAGTTATGGTTTGAACGGCGAAAGATGGCGAAGCATAGAATCACATAAGCTTAAAGCATGTGATGAAAATCCCTTTGACAACAGAAGTTTTTTCCATATTCATTGCTCAGAAGGCCTTTCGTTCAATACCAAAACTCGTTATTTGGGATGAATGATGAGATACAAAGGTTTATTCGAATAGATTTCAGCGTTTAAGCCGTAACTTTGAAATGATCTTACTATATGTATAAATAGCGTTTCGGACAAACGTTTGTCTCTAATCATCCAGCCCAGATGAAGGGTTTTGGTATTGTTCGAAAGACCTGCTGGGATAGATCTTAAAATGATATTTTACACACAAATTGTGTAAAATGTGGGGCAAAAAACATCCTATTAAAGATATTGAAAATGTGTTAAAATAGTAATTTGTTTTTATTGCATTTAATTTCAGATCGCCTAGATACATTTATGTTAGAAAAAAAAACAAATTATGCAGGTTTAATATTAACGTTTCCTCACAATAACCAGCCGTCTTTCAGTTATAAAACCCATCCTTCTTCTAGTTTTAGAGTGACTATTTCTGCTAAGTTAGTTAAAGCAGTTGTTGCATTAATGCCGATCCGGAGAGATGACAAACGATACTGTTTTTCATCAACAAGGAAGGTAGTATCCTCGTGTGGCTAGCGTTACCAGGGCAACGGTTACGTGAACATCTGTGGTTGCGGACCAAGAACTGAGAAATATTTTTGACTGAGTAGATTTCTGACATAAAGCTATGACATAACATAAAACTCGATCCTTCTGACTTATGTATCCTCAATCTTGACTCAATGGGCCTAACTTAGACTAATCCTCAATCTTGACTTAATGGGCCTAAATTAGACTATGCGAGTTGGATTTACTTGTGAAATTATCATCGAAATGTAGTTGTTTGCCAGTCAGTTAATGAAGAGATTAAGAGGCTGGTTCCAACGTACATAATTTCAATTTAACATTAAAATGTATATTATGATTTGCGTTTGTTAATAATTTTACAGGCTTCACGCGTGAGGTATTACTTTAAGAAAAAATTCCATTTAGCTCAGTATTACGTGGTTATTATTTGTGCAAGAAGTTTTAATATGTTGTTAAGCGCAAAGCTTCACAATTGGCTATGTGAGCTATGTCCAAATCAGGGGTCGAGCCCCGGATTTTAGCGTTATAAATATTTAAGATTACCTCTTATACGAGGGGCGATGTGCACAATAAGCTTTCTATTGTCTCCAAAATTTCTTTAACGTTTGGTTTAGATAGTAACTTTAAATTTGATTTTGATATTTTGAAGTTTTAATGTGTAAATGTGTAATCTATGCAATCGAATAAGTTAGTTTGCCAATAGAGTTTTCATTTATCTGTTTATATGAATTTCTCAGCCAACGATTAATTGTCAAGAATAAAGCTATTTTTCTGTATGCACTAAAAAGTGTTTGTGTGTTATAAAACGATGAAACAAACAGTAGAGGTCTATAAAATTCTAGGTTTATTGTATCATAAAATGAATAGTCAAACTACAGAGGTCTGTAAAACGTATGTTTATTTCATCATAAAATGGTCAAAGAAACAATAAGAGGCCTGTAAATTTAGGTATATTGTATCATAAAATATTCAAACAAACAACAGAAGTCCTTAAAACTAGGTTTAATTCTATTAATTGTTAGTCCTAATATCAGTGTTTGAAACTTAGTTTGCCAAACAGCTCTGAAGAGTCACAATTAATTATAATGGCGGAGTTAAACTGTGACATAGTTATACGTCAAGTAACAAAGGGATTTATGCTGATTCCAGAAATAATAATTTCCCTCGTGCATGCTTGGAATGCGTATTGCTGGTAGTTTGATATGCGCTTTGTTCAACCTTTCTAATAAGTGTTAAGGCTTAGAATTAAAGGATTTTTCGATATATATATATATATACTTTATTTTGGTTACAATTCTCTGTTGATTTGTAATAATGATAATACAAGACGATCCTTAACTATGTGGATTTTCTTAGCTTATCACTGAATCATGGGACATTGTTGGTCTCAACGGTGGATATTTTAACATTACTGTTTAGAGTAAGTAACAAAATCTAATATAAATACTGTTTTATCAAATTATGTATTATGTTGACACATTAGCGCGCTAGTTTCGATAAGGTGACTGGTAGTTCTTTGCCATTAAAAGTAGCTACGACTTATTGCTACTGACACAATCTATGAAAATATGTTTTTCTCTTTTTTATCGGTTTATTTTTTCATTTTTTATGGTATTTGAAAAGTAACACATGGTTTCATACTAAAATAACAATAGTTAAAGTATTGGATTTGTGTTTTTATGGTATTTGAAAAGT